GGGCCACTCGCCCGCTATAAGTCAGCCGTCGAATAATGTTTTCCTCACCTGGTCCCCGGCTCTGACGCCTCGCCTCGCCCTCCCGGCTCCCCTCCGTGACACGCGCTGAAGCAACACAATAAGGACACGTGACCTGTGCTGCTGCTGCTGCTCCCGGTGGGCCTGCTGGGGACACACGTGGCAGACGAGGCGCGAGGTGACAGGTTCCACGACGCCACTACGCCACGCACCGATCGCCCTGCACGTCCGTCCTGCTAGGCGCCCCGCCTGCGAGTCGCAATCGCAAATCGCACCCGCATTTACATGGCAGGGTCCAGTCTACGCTCGTTAGGGGGGCTTGTGCTCCCGGCAGAACCTCCTGGCCCCCTTCCTACCGTGTCGTGTTCGCTCCACGAGGAAATTTGCGCAGCCTGGCTGCAGGTGCGCGTGAAAATACAGTAAAGGTGGGTAAAAAGAAGGAAAAGCTTCGAGGATGAGGCGTTTGACTCAATAGCGCGCGGCACAGCGACTCTGGACCACTTCACTCGCAGCAGCCCTCGTCCCCGCCTTCTCCACAAACCTCCCCAAAGCCCCGCCCCGCCACGCCCGAGGTAGGCCAGAGATTGAAAGCCTTTCGCGCCTGGCGGGGGGTTATTGCCGAGGGGGTAATGGAGAGGAAGGTGGGGGACGAGGGAGGGAGGAGGGGAGGACACGGAGGGGGAGGAAAGAGGAAAGAAACTAGGAAGAGTGCGCCGTAAAGCAGGCGAGGGAAGGTCAGGACGCGGTGACGCCCCGCACCACCCGCGGAGCCCCGCGCACCACCACCACCGCCACACGGCCCTCACCGCAGTAAAACGAGAGGAGCGCCCGGCGCGCCATCAAAGCAACAGCCCTGCCAGTCATAAGCCTCCAGCCAGATTGGGCGGGGAAGGGGGAGGGGGCGTCCACCCCCGGGATTGATCTGTGAGTAACGGGCAAGAGGGGCCCAGGCGCCACGACGTCTGCCTCCTGGGGAAGGGTTTTACGGCCACTGCCAAAGAAATGTACCCATACTTGAAGTTTTTGTTTCAAATGGAAACTCTTCGTTACCCTAAACGGAGCCCAAAACGGTGCCGAAATCTTGAATTCTCGGATGGCTGCTCGGCTGTTTTTGTCGTCTGTCGCGGTGCCTGTGCCTCTCGCCCACCCTGGCCAGCGCCGCCCCGCCACCTCCACCCGCCAATGCCGCTGCGCTCCGACCTGATTTCCCGAACCCCGCAGTCGGAGCGGCGCAGAGCCAATCTTTTTCGCTCTCACGGCTTTGGCACGGTGAAGGACGCCAGTGTTTCCGAGCGGTGAGAAAAGGGGTGGGGGCAACTGTCACGCCCAATCCTGATCACCGTGTCTCGTCAAAGTGTCAATAGAACGGCCCCGGCTGCCAGCCCTGCCTGTGCTGCCGGCACAACCTGGCCCCCAATCTCTCTCCTCCTGCCCCCCT